ATGTGAAGACAGGCTGAGACTCTCCAAATGTTATTTATTTTAAACCAATTCTTTCTTTCTCCTTCTTCAATGGCTCTCATAGTCATTGAATAAATAGGCTGGGAAGGTTGAGTCGTCTCTCCATCCCCTTCCTAGTGAGAAGGAAGACCCCCTTTTGTGCTGGCCTATGTGGGTCTCAGCTACCTAATGGGTTAGTTTACAATTTAAGCTTGTCTTTCCTCACTTTGTTATCTATGTTCTAGATGAAGGTACCCATGGCTAATAATATGAGTATTTCATAGAAGTGATCTTTTGTTGAACATTTATATGACTGAAACAATTAAGCAAAGAGTTCAGCAAAGGGCCATGGAGACCTGGCTTTGGCAAGTTCTTTGAAGCCACTTAAGGATGACAGGGGTGGGGGGGGCGGGAACCCAACTGAAATAGAAACAGAGTGTTCATATGGCTGCATATTACCAATGGGAGGGAAAAAAAATACAGGACCTACCAGACATGACTGGAGCACAGACACTCCCTATAGTGGTATATGGTATCTTAATGAACACACCCTTTCTGTTAAAGTACAGCAAAACATGGGTTCTATTTTGAGACTAGGTGGTTTGGTCATCATTTTTGTCTTGGGCATCAAGGAAAGACAATTTGCTTTGTTAAGAGGAGGTTCCACACACCAGACTCCAGCACTAGGACTTAACTTCCAAGCCACTCTAAGTGGGAAGAGACACCTGATGAGAATTGTTTTGACCCCTAAGAGAGGACTGGCTGGGGTAGGGATCTGTGAGCTTCTGTGGCTGATCCAGTGATGGAATTGAAATGCTCTAGACCTCAAGGAAGTAAAATAGAACAAAGATAACTAAAAAAGAAGACTAAAATAGTTTTCTGAAAATATAAAACAGTAAAACCATTAACATTTTTGAAATACCCTGTCGTTTTCACTGCATATTTGATTACCGAGCACTTATTTCATATGGATGTCAAACCTAAACTTATTATTTTTGTAGATATAGATGGGGGTAGATTATCTTCCTTCATTTCTTTTCAAGCTAAGGTCATTATCATTGTTTTCTTTCTTTCTTTTTTTTTTTTTTTGGAACACACTCTAAAGATTTTTGGATATCAGGATAGGTGGGCATAAGTATAAAGCATATGAAAATGCTTTAAAAATTTTACTGTTATTCAACCACTGAGATAATATATTATCTTGTCACCTTTCTCAGTAGATGAAAGGAAAATGTTTCCTAAAGTTTTTTCTAGTAAAATATTTCAAAAGGATCTCATCCAACAATTCTGAAGTGTTAAGATGTATTGCATTACCTCTGGCAGAGAGGTCCCTGAGACCCTTTACAACCTCTTTTACTCCAGGTTGTGACTTTTGTCACAATGCTATTGACCTATTTCTTTAGGTAACTCACTGCCCAGATGGTCCACAGGCCAAATCTATTCACTCTGTTTATTCCCAGATAGATGTGGTAAACAGGTGCATTATATCAAAATGACAGTAGATCTGTCTTGGGCTATATATTGCTGATATAGATATCTTCTGTTTTAAAAGCTAATATAAGCTATTTTCTGATAGACACATGACCTACACACAATTTAACATGCATTTGGGGTAAATGTCTTTGAATTATTAGTAAAAGAATATTTTTAAGATAAATTGAAAACATACTTTGGAAAAAATTTCCTGAGTTGTGTCAAAAGTTAATTAGGAAAATAACGGTAACAAACAAGTCAAAGCAAAGATAGAAAGATTTTTGTAATATCAAATCTAAAAATAAAGCATGGATGAATTAAAAATTGTTGGCAAAATATCATTTGTTCTGAGTCAACAGCCATGTGGGAAAAATAAAGCAACTTCTTCAATGCGAATTATCACATCAAAGTAATAACTAGCTTATCCCTCAGTAACAAAAACAGATCTAAAACAAAAAAACAAAAACAGATCTCATGTATCTGGTAACAATGCATTCTAAAGGTTTGTATTTTAAGACGAATAGAGATGTACTGTAGTCACTCTGACATTCAATTAAAGACAATTTTTGCTTTATTAGAAACTTACATATTAGTTTTGCATTATATATTTACTTTAATGAAAATGATATGTAAATAGTTTTTGCAGGGGCACCTGGGTGACTCAGTCAGTTAAGCATCCGACTTTGGCTCAGGTCATGATCTCACCCTTCTCAAGTTTTAGCTCCATGTCAGGCTCTGTGCTGACAGCTCAGAGCCTGGAGCCTGCTTGGGATTCTGGGTCTCCCTCTCTCTCTCTGCCCCTCACCCACTTGCACTCTGTCTCTCTCTCTCTCAAAAATAAATAAACATTACAAAAATTTAAATTTTTTTTTTTTTTTGCAAACAATGCTGCTGAGAAATCTGTCAGTGCTACAGAAGAAAAGCAACAATAACCAGCACTTGACAGTCCTGGACTGGATTCTCTTAGGCAAGCATAAAAGCACATTTCCTCCATGACTCTCCTCTCATTGATGCAGCAGACTCGCACCTCAGTGTATAAACAAATTGCTCATTTTTCTTTCTGTATAACAACTTAATTCTATTTTAATCTTCCATTCTACCAGAAGTAACAGGATCTTACTATCAATTAGTCTCTTTCCCCTATCATATAAGTATGCTTTATCCTGAGTTTTGTCTAATCTCTGGCAGCCTATGCATTAGTCACGGTTCCTCAAAGAAACGGAACCAGGGGAACCTGGGTGGCTCAGTCGGTTGACCGTCCAACTCTTGATTTCAGTTCAGGTCATGATCCTAGGGTTGTGGGATTGAGCCCCAATTCGAGCTCTGTGCTGTGCATGGACCTTGCTTGAGATTCTCTCTCTCTCTCTCTCTCTCTCTCTCTCTCTCTCTCTGTCTCTCTCCCGCTGCCCCTGTCCCCCACTTACGGTCTCTCTCAAAAAACAAACAAACAAACAAAACCCAGAACTAATAGGACAATAGGATGTGTGTGTGTGTGTGTGTGTGTGTGTGTGTGTGTGTACACATATACGTGTATCTATCTCTATACATAGATGTTTATTTTTGGAAATCAGCTCACATGATCATGGAGGTGCAAGTTCAAAATCTGCAGAGTAGGCTGCCAGGATGGAGACCCAAGACACAGTCTAGTTTGCATCTGAAAGAAGTCTGTTGGCAGAATTCCCTTTCTTCTGGGAACTTTAGTCTATTAAGGCCTTCAACTGATTTGGAGGAGGCCCACCCACATTATGGAAGATAATCTGCTTTGCCCAAAGTCTCCTGACTTAAATGTTAATTTCACCTAAAACACACCTTCACAGAAATGTCTAGAAGAATGCTTAAGCAATTATCCAGGTACTGTGACCCAGCCAAGGTGACACATAAAGGTCACCATCACAGTTTATTTAGTACCGTTGTGGTAGGGAGGTGGAAAGGAGGGACCATCTCATCTTTGATGTCATCAGTCCATGACTGAGACTGCCAAGGTCACTGTCCTTATGGCCCTGCTCCCCTGACCTTTCAAGAGTGTGGTCTCACATGCTTCTGTTGGTACAGGAAAAATCTGCTTCCTTAATTGCGAGTGCAAAAGAATCTCCACAAAACTCTCTGCAGCAGCATCAGCTGAGACATATGAGGAGGCTGCTTCCTGATTGAGCCTGTCTCCCTGGACGTTGTGACAGTGTGGAGCCCGTGAACCTGACAAGCTCATCACCCTCATCTTCTCTACTCCTTCCACATTTCCCGACAGCCCCATCCCTGCCTGCCCATCCAGGCTTTCCCTGCCTGGATCTGGATCATTCTTTCATATTTGTGTCTGAATATTCTTTATTGCCACAAGCATTTGGGCTTTTTGAACCTTGAAACTACACATTAACAGGGATTTCTTTTTGTTGTTGTTGCTATTTTGTTCTGTTTTCATTTTCTCAAAGTTGACCCATCTTTAGCTATCTGCTTCAGTAGTGACAAGAGTAAAGGGGAAGGAAAGGATAAAATGTGCTTTTAATTTATTTATGACATAAATTAGACATACTATCTTAGGGAGTCATAAGCTATCAGGAATATCAGTGCAGTCCATTAAAAAATTACTTCCTTGGGTGATTTCTAGCTTCTTGAAAGCTCTGTTGATATTACTAAAGCTTAATTTATAATCCTCTTTCTGTTTCTTGAACTCCCACACCATGGTAAGCACTGTGTCTTTCTCACATTGTTTAAAATTGCAACTTGGATTTGCCTGCCTGAGGCTTGAAGACCTTCAGGATCCCAGAACTGTCAATTCTAAGCAAATGCAGAGATTTTTTAGGTGTCCACCAGATGGCACTGTTGACCAGAGAAAGGTGACTAACTTGCTTCAGCTCTGAAACAAACCTGTGTTAATACTGATTTAATTCCAAAAATAGAAGGGGGAAAATGTCAGGAAAAAGAAACAAGTAGATCCAGGATGCAAGACCATCTTGGGTCAATAGTAACAACTCTTCACTTAAGCAAGAAGTAACAACTCTGCCCTCAGAGCCAAGGAACCATCATCCTTGAATTATATTTCATTCACCTTGGATTCCACAAAGCTCTGATAGGTAGACCCTACAGGTGCTTCTGTTAAGTCTGTTCAGTGGCTAGACCACTGGAAGCTTGGGCCCCGGGCTCCACCTGAGGCTTTGTGATCAGAACACCCTTGTCCTCGATCAAGTTATTTAATCAATCTTGGCTTCAATTTCTTTATCTATAAAATAAGAATCTGAATTTGGTGAACCCTCACAGTTTGAAACTATAATCCCTGTTTCACAGATAAATTTCAGAGAAATGCCTTTCTCAAGGTCACAATTTCTTATCTTATGAGTCTGTACTAGAACTCAACCTTCTTCACTCCTGAATGCAGGCAAGGGTCCACTAAGATGTGAAGCTTTTCTGCTGTTCCTTTCTGAATCAACAACAATATATATTTATATTTATATTTATTTAAATATATATTTAAGCAACATTTTAAAAATATAATTTAAATATTATATATATTTATGTTTGGGGAAAATGGCTTTTTAAATGGATTGTTTTAGAAATCAAAATATAATGTGCATACAGACATATTTACGAATAATAAAGTGAATACACATTTACCCAGCTTTACAAAGTAGGACACCTTTTCTACCTTATTATACAAAGAAATCCAGTCCTTCCCTGTCTATATAAAATCGTATCAAGATCTAACTTTACTCCCCTCCCCACCAAATAAAAAGTTTTTCAGCTAGCAAAAGGCCATTTCCTCCAGGATTTTACCTTAGTGGCTTTACACTCTTAGCTCATCCATAAGCTTCGGAAGGCAAAGACAACCGTATGTTCCTTTAGGCTCTCATCTCCCCATGACCATCTTTTGGGAGAGAAGAATCGAGTTAATACTTAAACTGCACTTTCTTCCTGCCTGTAATCTTCATTTTAAATTATAGTAAATTGTTATTCTCATTAATGCTAAAATATAAATCATTTACCTCTTTTCTGGGGGACCCTTTGGGGAGAAGAAAAGAGCCAGGGTTCATAGTGGCCCAGAGAAGAGAAAGAGCCCATGAAAATTTTCTAAGGAGGTGAATATTTTCAGGGAAATGTCTGAAGCTGCAATGTCTACATATAACATTTAAACTTATCTGCCATGAGGTAACTCAATTTAAGTCTTGTATTGCACATAAACTTTCAATTGCGGCTCACATTCTGTAGAGGTAGCATTTAGGGGTTAAAGAGCAAGGCCTAGAAGAGAGATGAATGGTTTAGATAAAGATGGGAATTTGAGTAAGAAAGGATGAGGAAAAATGTAAGCTCTCCAGATCTCAGTGTGTTTAGGGTGAACTTGTGGGGTTTTTGAATTCAAATGTTACTAAAAAGGTTCTCCTCATTATAGTAAAAGATTTGAGATAGCCAGAGAGCTGATATCCAAGTTACATATGTGCAGAAATATAACATGCATTTGTTGGAAATAGCAAAGTGTCTTTAAGTTCACGCACGTGAATGGTAAGGTTCACTAATAAATTCTTTTAATTTCTTGGAAATTCACATTCTTTGAACTTCTTTGTGGTTCACTTATGTTTCTCTCTGTTGAATTTCTTGGTAATCCCAGAGGGTCAGGGATACTTCTCAGATTGTTTTAAGCCTGAAAAGAAGTGAAATAGTGCATTTTTCAGCTGTTGGCCATTTTGTCAGCTTCTAAACCAACATCTCCGCCACCCTCCCAAAGGGTTAAGAGAAAGCCTGTGACAGAAAAGGAGCAGCAATTATATACTTCCTGGGAAAATTGCCAGCCATTCCTGGTCTCTGACCTTCTTTCTTGACAATATGTCCAACCTCTCTGCCTTTGAAATTTATATCTTAATCATACTTCACATTTGACAGTGTTTTGGATTTTTCTAAACAAATTTAAATGCACCCTTTCCCTTGGATATTATCCCCACTGCAGACCTAAATTGCTAGGGCAGATTCCATCATCTGTATTTTGCACATGGGAATCCAGATTAAAAAAAAAAAAAAAAGTAAACTTTATTGCTCAAGGTCACACAAAGCTCAGAGAAAACCCACATTTTCTTTCTCCAAGGCTAATGAGTGTTCAAATGCAGGAAGCTACTTTCTGTCTCCAAACATAATCTTCACTTCACTGTTGACGATGTAACTCACCGAAGCCCAAATACCTCCAAGTCCCAAATGAAAGCTATCAAGTGTTTGCCTCTGTATCTATCCTTGCTCGATCTTTTTTACTCTCTGCCCTGGGAAATAAGCTCCAGGAAAGTTAGCATCAAATGATGAATTAGTTGTTTTTACAAAATGAATAATCAAAGTCGTGATGAAACTCTGAACCCACTTCCAAGTTTTCTCTTTATATGGAAGCTTCAGGATCATTACTCACAGAGTTGTACAAAGTATCACAGATCCAGGTCCAAGTGAAATGATTCAGTATTTATCCAATATTTAACGAATGCTTTCTTAGAAAAAGTTTCCATGTTCAAATTATCTGAAGTCCTTCTTTTAATGTTTATTTATTTTGAGAGAGAGAGAGAGAGAGAGAGAGAGAGAGGAGGGGAGGGGAGGGGAGGGGCAGAGAGAGAGAGAAAGAGAGAGAGAATCCCAAGCAAGCTCCATACCTTAGTGTGGAGCCTGACATGGGGCTCTAAGTCATAAACTGTGAGAACATGACCTGAGCCGAAACCAACAGCTGGACGCTTAACTGACTGAGCCACCCAGGCACCCCCAAAGTCCTTTGTTAAAGGACCTGTACGTCGTATTTGTACACACCTTCCTTATGAATAGAGAGGTTGAGGAGTGCAGCATGTCCCTAACTTGTATTCGCACAGAACTTTCTACAGAACTGTTTTTTGTTTCGTTTTTCCAGAACATTCTTTGTGAAAAGCTCTGTTAGAGAACAGAGCTTTGTGATGATGTCTATAATACTGCTTCTCAGCATTATTCTAAGGATCTTTATATATTTATATAATTCAGAATTGTAGTAAATCAATAATAGTCGAATGAAACCTTCAGGTAAATTTGGATAAAGTGTTTTAAGCTGAAAATATACAAAGGTATTATTTTTTTCTTGACTGATTGAAGAAAAATAAAGCAAAGAAATTTAATCTGTATTATATATTTGTGCAAGGCACAAATGACCCAAACCATAAAAGATGAACATTTCAGGGCTCTAACACTCACTGAGGATAAGGAATGAGATAACAATGGAAGGGGGCAAGTTCACAACAACAACAAAAAAGTAATTTCCTTAAGTGTCCTCAGTGGAGGGTCTTCACCTTCAACAATCAGAAATCCTGATGCATCTGTTTGCGCTTCCACTTCTCTCTCCGGTTGAGACTGAATCTTGCTGTTGCAAGGCCAATTGGGAATTTATATTTCCCTCAGCAACCTGCCTTGCTGATTCCATAAACAAGTGGAAGACGTCCATTCCCAGACAAAGCGTGTCAGGTTGGATCTCAAGCTCAGTTGTATCTTTGAAAGAGGATGCTTTAACCTACTTCTTCAGAATTTTCACAACAGGTGCAACATGGACAGAAACAAAATCACAGTTGCTTCACTGATGCCAGGTTGGTGGTTGTTAATCTTAATGATTCCAAACATTTCTCTAGGCCTTCGAAATGTCCATAATACACTTAATTTGAATTCTCATTTCTACTTCCCACGATGTTATGCACAAGACAGGGGTAATGATCTCTGTTTTAAGAGAATGTGGATGGTAGTTGCTAGGAAGGATTGCATCTGTGACTCTGTCCCTCCATTTAGTTTTTTTTTTTTTTTTTTAAATTACCTATACAATACAAGCCTACTTCCTTGAATGAGGCACCATTTTTAAGATAACATCAAAATAAAATATTTTGGTTATTTTGTCAGCCACTGTGCTAAGCTCTGACTTATGTATCTACAGCTGTGTTAAGAACTTTATATAAAGATCAATGAAATAGATACTATTTTTCTTTATATATTGTACATACATTACTTTTTAAGTTCAGATATTTATATATAATTACCTTATGGATTTATTGCTATTCAATATATTTTGGCAGTTGCATATAATCATAATCATCATCTCAAACGATATGTAGAATATTCCCATTATTCCAGAAAGTTGCCATGTACCACTTAGCTGTCAGTTTTCACCCCTCAAAATCCCAGGAGAACTATTTTTTTATTTTATCTTATTTTAGAGTGTGTGTGAGCAGGGGAGAAGGGGAAAGGGAGAGAGAGAGAGAGAGAGACAGAGGGAGGGAGGGAGGGAGGGAGAGAGAGAGAGAGAGAGAGAGAAAGAGAATGCCAAGCAGACTCCACCCTCAGTGTGGAGCCCAGCGTGGGTCTCTATCCCAGGAACCGGGATCATGACCTGAGCTGAAGCCAAGGGTTGGACCCTCAGCCAAGAGAGCCACCCAGACGCTCCAGGGAACTATTTTTAATTTCTGTTGCAGTCATCATCCCTTATCCACAGGGGATATCTTCCAAGGTGCCTCAGTGGTTGCCTGAAACCACAATTGTATTAAATCCTATATATATTATGTTTTTCCTGTGCATACATACCTATGATAAAGTTTATTTATATTTAAAAAAAAATTAACATTTATTTATTATTATTGAGAGACAGAGAGACACAGAGCATGAGCAGGGGAGAGGTAGAGAGAGGGGGAGAACAGAATCTGAAGTAGGTTCCAGGCTCTGAGCTGTCAGCACAGAGCCCGACAAGGGGCTCCAACTCACAAGCTGCGAGATCATGACCTGAGTCGAAGTCAGTCGCCTAACCAACTGAGCTATCCAGGTGCTCCCCTATGATAAAGTTTAATTTATAAGTTAGGCACAGTAAGAGATTAACAACAACAAATAATAAAATGGAACAATGATAGCAATATACTCTGATAAAAGTTATCTGAATGTGGTCTCTCTCAAAGTATCTTGTGCTGTATCTTTCTTGTGATATTATGAGATGATAAAATGCCTACTTGATGAGACAACGTGAGGTGAGTGATGTAGGTGCTGTGACACAGCATTAGGCTACTACAGACCTCTGACTGGATGTCAGAAGGACAATCATCTGCTTCAGACCGTGGTTGACTGCGGGTAACTAAAACCGTGGGGAGTGAAACTGTAGATAAGGGGGCACTACTGTACTTTAGATGTTCTTGAACCTCATTTAATTATAAACATGTTTTCTCTGCTCTTTTGTGTAGGGTTTGTTTCACGCAACATAATATCTTTCTGAAATTTTTCCATGTTGTACTGTGTCTGATTTTTTAAAAATTGATTATATTCCACTGTATTAATATACCGTACTTTATTTTTCCTGTCTCATATTGATGAACATTTGAATTCTTTCCACTTTTGGCTATTATGAATAAATGTCCTTTGAAAATTCCCAAACAAGGATTTCTTTAGATATACGTTTTCATGTCTCTTCAGTAAACACCTAGGATTGGGACTTCTGGTCATGTTTAACCTTGTAAGAAGATGACATTTTTTCAGGTTCCATTTCTACCAATAACAACATGTGAGACTTCTGGTTGTTTCATATTCTCACCAAATTTGATATTATGATTTGATTTTAGCCATTCTATAGGATGTGGAATAGTACCTCCCTGAAGCTTCACTTTTCATTCCCCAATGACTAATGATGTTGAGCACTATTTCAGGGTCTAGTTGCCTTTTTTTTTTTAATCTTTTTTTTTTTCAACATTTATTTATTTTTGGGACAGAGAGAGACACAGCATGAATGGGGGAGGGGCAGAGAGAGAGGGAGACACAGAATCGGAAACAGGCTCCAGGCTCTGAGCCATCAGTCCAGAGCCTGACGCGGGGCTCGAACTCACGGACCGCGAGATCGTGACCTGGCTGAAGTCGGACGCTCAACCGACTGCGCCACCCAGGCGCCCCTTTAATCTTTCTTTGAAAGTAAGAGTTTCATGATTTTGCCTAGGTTTTGTTTTTAATTACTGATTCGAAATAGTTCTTTATGTGCCCTTTATTTGTACCCTTTGTCAGATATACGTTGTAAATATTTTTTTCTCTAAACTATGGTTTGCCTGTTCATTTTCTTCTTCTTCATATTTTTTAAGTGGTGTTTTTTTTTTTAATGTCTATTTGTTTTGTGAGAGAGAGCAAGAGTGCACAAGCAGGGGAGAGTGAGAGAAGAGGGAGAGAGAGAATCCCAAGTAGCCTTCATGCTGTCGACACAGAGCCTGACATGGGGCTCAATCCCACGAACCGTGACGTCATGACCTGAGCCGAAACCAAGAGTCAGATGCCTAACCAACTGAGCCACCCAGGAACCCCAATTTTATTATATTTAAAATTCAAGTTTAGCTGACATTCAATATTATGTTAGTTTCAGGTATATGACACAGTGATTTGACATTTATGTACATTACAAAATGATCACCACAATAAATCTAGTTACCATAGGTTACCATACAAAGTAATTACATTATTGACTATATTCCCAATGCTGTATTTTATACATTTGTGAGGTATTTATGTTATAACTGGAAGTTTATACCTCTTAATCCTCTTTACCTATTTCACCCATCCCTCCTACCACCCCTCCTCCATCCTGGTAACCACCAGTTTGTTTTCTGTATTTATGAGTCTGCTATTGTTTTGTTTTGCTTATTTTTTTTT